CATATATAAACATACACATATATATACATATATATACATATATATATATATATATATACATATATATAAATGCATGCATACAAATATATATAAATATACATACACATATATACATATATATACATATATATATATGCATATACATAGCTATGCATATATATACATATATATACACATATATATATACATATATAAACATATATATATATATATACATACGTATATATATATATATATATATATATATATATATATACACACACACACACACATATATATATATATATATATATATATATATATATATATACGGGGAGAGAGAGAGAGAGAGAGAGAGAAGGATTTTCTCACAAAGCCACTAGGACAGAAAAGTTCACTTAGTGTGTTAGAATTCAAAAATAGAAACAGTACTAAGGATCGAGAAGAAAAAAAGAATTACCAGGAGGACAGCAGAAGGCGATTGACATTGCATTTGATTAAAGTTGGGGGGGAAAGCATGGATCCGGAACAATTTTTCACATTCAAAAAGTGTGAGAAATAAACGCATTTAGTATAAAAGTTACAGTTGCATATAGCAAACTCAAGTGTGTATTGGCGAGACCTCGTCGCCAGTGAAGTACTGCGTTTAAATTTATAAAGTTAAGGAACCTGATGAAACGCTCTTGGAAGTATTTATGTAAAACGGTACCTTTTATATACACAATTCCATGGTAACTTTACGCAATGAGAAATTGACCGAAGCCGGGACACCAGATGAGAACCACCAATATTGCTCATTCTTCTTTGGATTTTATCAAAGAGTTTTAGATAAGTAACAGGAACACCGTACCATAAGTGGCGGCAATATTCTAAGCATGAATGAATGGTAGATGTATAGATGTGTAGAATAGATTCTGGAGAGAAAAATTGACTAGCAGGGTAGAGTAAACCAATTTTCTTAGCAGCTGACATAGCAAGGCTTTCAAAAATAATCAGCCGGGAACGTTCGACCGAGAAGGCTCAACGAGTCACTCTCCAGTTATATATAAAAGTATGAAAGTCAGAGAGAGAGAGAGAGAGAGAGAGAGAGAGAGAGAGGGTGGAAGTCAGAGAGAGGTGTCTAAGATGATTAATAGAGAGAAGTTTAGCTTTTGGGGCGTTAAAATTAACACGCCATCCTTTGCCCCAGTTAACAACATTCACACACATACATACTCTCTCTCTCTCTCTCTCTCTCTCTATATATATATATATATATATATATATATATGTGTGTGTGTGTGTGTGTGTGTGTGTGTGTGTATTGAATACCTACAGAGCCAGGCTATTTAGGGATGCTAATTTTGCTCTACTTAGTGTATTGAGTAATTTCAAGTATCAGCTTAGGTAACCCTGTCGGTGTTTTTACTTCTGGACAGACATTGCGGTGCTGGTCGATTTTTTTTTCAAGCAGTAAGGATGTTTTTAGACTTTTCTTTTATTTCCAGATATCAGTTTCAGTAAAATATTTTTTATTTACAAATTGCATGATCAATTGCATATTTCCAAATCACACATTAGCAAACCATTATGACCAAAATATTAGACTATAAAAATCGAACCAAAAATCGGAGGAAAACATAGCGAAAACTGTTATATAACGATAAAAAAAACAATACCACGTTACTTAATGTTATGGGCGACGGATAGCAAAAACAGTTTGTCCTCTGCATAGAATTCGTTTCTTCAGTTCCTCGTCGCCATTGTTATGGTCCAATATCCTCGCACCACAGTTATGCTCCAAGATTAGAACCAAGGAAGAACAACACGGACACAAGAGTAGAATGACCCCATTCATTCAGTATACCTCTTGAGAGGCGCAGTATTTATAGTGTCAGGAAGAGTCCATTATCGTTATAGGTAAGTTCCCATAACATATAAAAAATCGAAAACCCAAAAGAGCAAATAAAAATATACAGCATAATAAATAAATAATAATAAAAAAACAAATAAAATAAATTAATCTAAATTAATCCAAACAAAGAAATTAACAAACCTCACCCGATAAATTAACCGTTAGAAGAAACAAGTAAAGATAATCAATCCAAATAAATAAATGAAGTGATAAACAAATTAAAAACTGCTCGCGCCAAAATAATAGTTACAATAAACTACAGCAATCAACGCCAAAATTGAACAAAATAGATTTAATTATCTTCCCAAACCAAAACGAAACTATTAAATAAGCGATAAAAAAATTTTTATTACGTTAATAAAACATCAACTAAAATAAAAATAAATAAATGATATAAGATAAGAAATAAAAATAAAAAATGAAAATAAAAAATAAAAATAAATAAAAACAAGCGAAATAAATTAACCCAAATAAATAAACAAATAAACGACTTCCGGCAAAATAACCGCTAAAATCAATTACCCACAATGCACTACTGACCCGTATATATAAATAGCCGAGAAAAAAAAATACACGTGGCCTGATGATTGCGTCTAGCATGAAACTGAAGCGCAGTGATTTTTTATTTAAATAGTTTTGGTTAAAAAGAAAAAAATAGTTGCTTATCTTATTCATAGGTTTATAGTTGTTGTCAGTTATATGTTGAGAGATCCTTGATAAAATAAAAAGAGGAACCAGCAATATTATTCGTCCTGATTTAGTATCTTGTCTTCAGTCACTTTCACACAGACGTAAAGTTGCCTTCATGGGGCTTTTCAAAAAAAGCTTTTCAACGGGATTCAGAAATGTAAATATAGTTTCCAATTGTACTTGGCCTAGCGTAAGTCATATTCAAAGATTTTTTTTTTGTACTGGCGTCAGTTTCAATTGTCAATATCCTATACAGAACCGTCATATAGCCTGACGTGCTTTTACCGATTTCGCCACAGAGAAGTGTTTGGGTTAACAAGGTCGATTTTACTGTTTTCAGGCATGTAAATGTTGTTTGATACTGTTTATTATAAACAGGCCATTTACTTAAATATTTGTATCTATAAAAAGAATGAATAAACATAAAAATGTCTTAAAATAATAGTCGGACTTTGTTCATTTCATAATATATATATATATATATATATATATATATATATATATATATATATATATAAACAAAGGGGAAGGTGAAAAATCGACGTGTTATTTATCGCGGTATCATCTTGTTGGAGGCTGTTGGGAAGGTTCTCACAAGAATATTACCTAATAGATTGAAGGAGGATATCTGTCCTGTAGTTATCCCAGAATCACACAGTGACCTAGGGGTGGAAGAGGGACACTTGACACGATCTTCTCGGCACGACAGATTCTGGAGAATGTATTGAGCAGAACATGACCCTCTATCAGGTATTTGTAGATTTGACGAAAGCTTTCCACACTGTTCGCCGGGATGCTCTCTGGATAGTACTCAGAAAGGTAGGATGTCCACCAGGTTTTGTGGAAAGTGTTACGGTTTTTTTGGGTCTATACCGTATATGACTAGTGAGCGAGTCAAAATGACTTATTTCCCTTTATAGTCGACCAATAGAAGGTTGACAATCGTAAGCCGCCCAACACTGTATCCGTCGTGTATAAAGGCGGCCATCTTTGTTTTACCAGAGGCAACTTGTCCGGCGAACAGGACAGACGGAAGAACCACGCTCTGCTTAGCTTGCTACGGTATCCACTGCGAACCTGCACTACGGTTTCCTACCGTCTCCGAAATATTCACTGCCAACCTCTGGATTCTATACTCGAGGACGACCGTCATGAAAATGTCTAACAGAAAGCAACTGCACAGGAATACGAAAGCCCGGGTTACTTTCAATAGTCAACTGTCATCCCTATTGACAATGGCGTAAAGCAGGGCGATATTCCTGCTCCCACACTTTTCTCTTTTTTGCTGCTCTAATTGCGCATGCTTCCCAAGATTGAGATGAAGGCATCTATTTGCGATTCAGAACCACTGGGGATGGGTGTTCGATCTGATATCTTTCAATTTCAGGTCGAAATCTTTCCAAGCTTTGATTAGAGAGCTACGCTGCGCACACGACGCTAATATTTTAGCTCATACAGAAGCTGGCATGCACCATATTATGAACCATTTCTCATGTTCATGCGCAGCATTTGGTCTAAGGATAAACCTCACAAAAAACAAAGGTAATGTTTACTCCTGACCGCCGAGAGCCATATATTGAGCCCAACATCTTTGTTCATGTAATAAGGTTAGGGGTAGTTGAGAAGTTTGTTTATCTTGGCATCTCAATTACAACAGATGGCTCACTGGAGGCCAAAATATATCTACGTATCCAGGTCTCAGCGGCATTCGGGAAGATGAAACAGAAAGTATGGGCAGCTCGTGATATTAACAACCATACCAAGGTATGTGTGTATAGAACTTGCGTTCTGACATTTCTTCTATACGCCTCCGAAATTTTGACACTACTCAGCAAACATTTAAAAATACTTGAACGTTTCCAGCCGAAATGCCTGAGAGGCATATTGAATGTCAAATAGGAAAGCAGAACTCCTGATACTGATGTCCTACTCATAGGCAACTACTAAAGCATAGAGACTCTTGTAACATCTTCCAAAATGCGATGGACCCGACACATAAGCTGAATGAAGGAAAGGAGACTTCCAAAACGATTGTTTTATAGTGTGCTGAGTATCGGAAAGCGTTCTCAGCACAAACCAAGTAAAATATACAAAGACTGCATCAAGAACAACCTAGCAAAGATGACATTTGACTTCAAGAATTGAGAAGAGATGGCCTTAGATAGAACTGGATGGAGAGGCCAAATAAGAGGCGGGTGTCGAAAATGTTGTCTGGAACACAAACGGCGGAAACGGTACTTCGAATGGGTGATAACCATATACTCGACGAGGGTATCAAGGGAGGCACATGTGATTTCTGTTAGTGCATACTTCTTTCAAAAGCTGGCTGGGTGAATCATGTGAAGTCACATAAAGACAAAACAAATAACCCCTGACTTTCTCCAGATACAGATTATCACAGCCTGCACTATAATATATATGAACTGCGAATAATTGTTCATATTAACTTGGACAATGATATATTTAGATAGATAGATAGATAGATAGATAGATAGATAGATAGATAGATAATGGAGAATATTAGATAGATAGATAGATAGATAGATAGATAGATAGATAGATAGATAGATAGATAGATAGATAATGAGGCAGATGAGAAATGAGGGGTGCTAAAAAGCTAACAGCTCGATTCATTTCACTAAATAAAAAGAAGAATATTTTTGTAATTGCCTGTGAATATGTGGAGAAACATCATAGATAGATAGATAGATAGAAAAATATTACAAGAAATACATATGTATATTTATATATAGAGAGAGAGTGAGTGAGAGAGATGGAGAGAGATACAGAGGTATAAAGTGATGATAGATAAATGGAATAGATAGATAGATAGGTAGATAGATAGATAGGTAGATAGATAGATAGAGAGAGAGCGAGAAAGAAGGAGAGAGATAAAAAGTGATGATAGATATATAGATAAAGAGACTATGAACAGGCAATGATGAAATGGTTGTTGAAAAATCTAATAATCCGATCCATATCACAAAATAAACACCGAATTTTGGTATATTTCTTTAGAAACATCATAGATAGATAGAAAGAAAGAAAGAAAGATATATATATATATATATATATATATATATATATATATATATATATAGATATAGAGAGAGAGAGAGAGAGAGAGTGAGAGAGACGGACAGAGATATAAAGTGATGATCGATATATATATATATATATATAGATAGATAGATAGATAGATAGATAGATAATGAACAATAAATCATGAAATGGTTTCTGAAAATCTAATAATTTTCGGTGATGTCCTCGTAGATTAGTTTAGAAACATCATAGTTAGTTAATGAGCAGGTTACGATATGAGACATGCAGAAAACCTAATCGCCCGAATCTTTTTACAAAATAAACAAAAACCTGATACTTTGAAAAGAGCTTCATGATTAGCATATATAGGGTACGATGGGTAAAATGTCGCCTTTTTATACACATCACTCCTTACATCTGGCCACCTAACTCCTCAGACTGCAACCCCCATGATTATTATGTGTGGGTCTCATGTGAGTGATAGATCAACAAAACTCATGGTAATACCAAATATGAATAGAAAACAAGGATTGAGGCAGCATACACCAATTTAAACAAGGAGACTGTCAAGAAGAAATGCAAGAGGTTCCGGAATCGTCTGGTGGCCGTGGTTCAAAGCAATGTCGATTTTATTAAATAAATTTACCTTTTGGTATTTCAAGATATTTTTGTGTAATTTTGATACATATATGCGTTAAAATGCGATATCAGTACCATTTTCATTTTTATGTAATTCAGACGACAATTTATCCATTGCACCCTATGCACCCCACACACTTATATATATATATATATATATATATATATATATATATCGAGAATAATAGATAGATAGATAGATAGATAGATAGATAGATAGATAGATAATAAACAGGTTTATTAGACAGGAGAAATTCTGAAAATCTGACTAATATGATTGAATAAACAAACACCAGATATTTTGGGAGGTGCGGCTAGATATGTACAGAACCATATATATATATATATATATATATATATATATATATATATATATATATATATATATATAGAGAGAGAGAGAGAGAGAGGGGGAGACGAGAGAGAGAGAGACGGAGAGAGAGAGAGAGAAGAGTCAGAGGTAGAGAGAGGCAGAGAGAGAAATTAAATAGAAAGAAAAAGAAAGGATTGAATGAGATTGATAAAACTTTTTGTATTCCTCTTGTGTACGCCATGAATCTTCTAAATTGCCTCATTTCTTTTCTTTTTTCAAATTTAAGCCCAATAATGAAAGCAACAAAAATGTTTTCCCCATACTTTGGTAATAACGACAAAAAAGAACGTATTGCAAGTGAAATATTGTTCAAGGCAGATTATAAAAAAAAATTAAATGTCAATAAATTTGGGGACATAATGAGCCCTTCATACAACAACATCGAAAACAATACGACCTGATGTTGTGTGTTTACAACACAAAGGAAAAACAAACCGGAAAAAAAGGCCCCGAGAACCCAGTACAAATATCAAAGGTGTAAAACAATGCAGTTATGAAGCTATGAGGAAAAGAAAACCCGAAATAAATAACGAGGTGGCAATGTTGGAGAAGCAGAAATACGGACTCAAAAAAAGTGGTAGAAATTGGGAAACATACGTATGAGACAACGAACACAAGAAACACCTTTTATAGAACATTAGTTATAAAGCTAGACGATGGTGTATTAGATAGCGGCTCGAATTGAGAAATCGGAGAGCCGAGTTCGAATTCCAGTCGAATACCCTTGGGAAAGGTATGAATTCTCTTCCTCTCTCCACAGCTATGGGTAAATAGCAGGACAGACCGGGTTCTATAGCCTTAGCTTGCAACTGGTCTACCGCAGAAAGAAATGGCAAAGAATGATACATGATTGCCTAAGTGTGTATCACGCATGGCACATAACTGAGTTATAAAGCTAATTTTGAAGGTCATTTCTAGTGAAATAGATTCGATCCTTAGTTTACAATGAATAGGCGCTTACCAGCTTTACTAAATAACAAAGTGTCTCCAATTTAACCCTAGGTTAATTATGAAAAATGCAATCATTCTATAAAATACGTTTATATTTCAACATGTTCGCCTACCGCCAGGATTTACACCCTCTTCCGGTCTTTGAATGGAAGTAGATTTTTTCCCTTATGTTTTGTGTTTGCGCTTCTCTCTTCTCATTCTCTTTCACTCTCAGTAGACACACCTTGAGTCTTAGTGGATTTATCGCCTTACTTTGTGTGAATTGATTAAAAAAATATGTCATGTCCCTTCAGATTATGGATTTCCATATCTTCTTATCTTATGTTGCTCGAAGTAAATGTTGGCTCCTTACCATTACAGTTTCTTCATGTTTTGCCTTCAATTAACTAATTAAGTAGCGTACTCGCTATTTAACTCTTGCCTCAGTAATTTCTTTGTGTGCTAAATTTCATCAGCGGTCTTTCCTCATAATGGGTCCCAGGAATGATGTTACCTTTCTCTTTTTTTCTTTCTAAAAGCTACTTTATTTTCCTTAAACCGATTTATTACGAACACGTCTTGTCAGGGTGTTCCTGTTATGCAACTGTAAAACCACATATCTCTAGATTTAAGTTTACTACCAATATAAACCCTTTTAAAAAGGCTAACCTGTCACTCCTACTTTTAACAATCTTCACCCAAATCTTGATGTAAATACGCTACTCCGGAATTCGTTCACCCATTTTTTTTGCCTACATAGTAAGAAGATCACGCATACCTTCCTCTACTGCTCGGCAAAGTATAAACATTCATTCTGCTTCTCCGAGAAAACGGAATTTGGAATATTTACGCATCTTTATCTGCTATATTTCGCCATCAGCTATACAATGTTAATCCTAATACAGGTGATTTTTTCTTTATATGATATTCCAAAATACGAAAGTTTTTCATGAGTTGATAATATTTGCCGCAAATAGAAAATTTCAGAAAGCACTGAGAAGAATTTATAGGTAATGTGCAGCTGTTGTAAGTGACCTCATCTGCCTTGGGTGGGGGTTTCCCAGCCCATATACGTAGTCTACGTTGGCGCCATTTTTTTTTTTTTTGTTAGCGATCGTCACAGCAACACCTTCATTCATGGATTACTTACCAGGTGTTTCGTGGTCAGTCAAGATATTATTCAAAATGTTAACAAGTCCTTTAGATACCAGTATGGGTAGTGAAAAAAAATAAAGCGTTTGTGTTTGACAATATCATCGGAAGTCAAACTGTTGATAAAACTAGACAGGTGTGTAAGTGTGAAATGTCTGACTTAGGAGTTTGGCGTTGGAACACCCACCTTATACGACTCAAGAAGACAGAAGGAGAAATTGTTAAAGTTTTATGCTGAAAGTGATGAACAGAACTCAATAAAAAAATAGAAAATTACTGCACAAAGCCAAAAAATGATGATCTCGATTATGTATTGATGGAGTGGTTTCGTCAGCGTCGGAGGGAACATATGCCGGTTACATTAAACGTCAGGGTATATGTATAAATATAGCCCAGGGATTGAACTCACAATTAATATCATGAAATTTATGAATCAATGCTAAATCAATGCTTTAATATTGCCCCTGGAAAAATATTATAATTTTGTACTTATAAAACTTCAAACTCATAAATATTGCTATGGTACCAATTAGTATAATAAAGTTACTATAATATAACAAACCCCCTTTTTTACTTTTAATGAGGCAAATTATTTTCTTCTCTACGAAAGAAAAGAAAATATCAACCTTAAGTAATCTTGAGAACTACACAGTATGTCAAGACTGTATCCAACTATTTAATATTAAGAAAAAAAAAGCCTACCTCGGGTAATGGCTTCTTATTCCCCTTAAATAAATACTATCCTGGGAACTTTCCACACTTATCTAAATATTCCTTCCATTTTTTAAACACTTCTCTCGTGAGACTGCCATTGGTTGCTTCATTACATTCTGCTTAAGTTGGTCCATGCCATTTCAATATCATTAGCTTCGGGAAAAGCCAAAAAATCATTTAAGTAGCAAATTTCGAATAAAGGATTCTCAACATGTAATAATAATTTCTTAGCGTTGCTAGCGGCCCACGTTTGAACACTGAAGAAGATTAAATGCCTAAATCTCAAGTAAATAAGCCCTTTGTAACTTTTCGTAAGACTATCGAGGCCCTGTGTTATACAACCTAAGTATAAGAAATATGAAATATTATTCCCTCGTGGTGCTAGAAGTTGGTATTCAAATTCAGGCAAATGTTAGCATTTCAAATGTTCTTTTTTCTAACCGTAAATTGGAAGTTTGATGTCACACAATCTCCTACTTATTTGTATACGTTGTTTTTAAGACGCTAGAAGTTAAGTAATAAGTATCATGAAATGAGTCTACAATGTTTGAATTAGATATAGTCATGTAGAAATAATAGACATTTGTTGGTTTAATACAACTTCTTTATTAGATCTTAAAAAGAAATTCGCAAGCCTAATACAAATATATAGAAAACATTTTCAAATACTACGCAAATTCTTAATAAAAATACATTTGTAAATATCAAATACCTGAAATCATTTACGCCATTTGAGTGTGTCAGTTGCTTTCTTGTGTGGCTTCCCTATCACAAAAAATTTAATTCTAAATCAGTCTGACGAGCGAAACTTATAATTAATAGCAATTTTTTTATAAACCAATAATTAATTATGGGCAATAATCAAATAAGGATTTTATTTTTACTTCTTTTTTCATAACGGATATCACAGTGGGCATTAGTCGATTAATAAAAAAATCATTTCCGTCGAAAACATCCAAAAGCACCTCGGGAAATTCTTTGCTTACAAAGATACAAGTTTCAAGTGGAAAGAATTATGATATCTGCTGAGTTTGTAAAACGGTGAATCTGTTGTTCAATGAAATTAATATGGATTTTTTTTTTTTTTTTTAAATGGTTTCTTTTTGCTTTTGGCTTAATACATCGAATGAAATTTTTCAGTTACGCAATATTTAGAAATGTGAAATGAGCACGAAGAAATATAAAATGAAAACCGAGAGGGTGAAACAGTAATAGTGACATAAAAGGAAAATCTTTGTAGAATAGGATGCAATAAAAATGAAGACGGTGATAATAAAAAAAATTAAAGTAAAACTATAGACATTTAAAATAATAATAATAATAATAATAATAATAATAATAATACGCACTACGTAAAATCGCTTGGAAGAAGTAAAAAACATGGTAACAAAAAATATTTAAAAAAGAAAATGGAGAAGGGTTTCAACGGAAGTAATTGAGCCGTGGAAGAACGGAAACGAGGCTCGAAATTAGGACAAAGAAGGAAATTGAACGAAACATTGAACAAGGAGCGTTGAGGCCCATTAGAAGTGAAAAAAAAAGGCCAGTGATTTTTTTTAAAAATACGAAGGAAAGGAGGAAGAAGTTACGGAAAATATGAAAAGGAGAATGGCAGAAAGAAAGGAAGTTAAGAAAAAAACACTAAAAATCGATACCAAATCAGAAAAAAGAAAATCTGAAAAAAACCGACACAGACATAACAGACTTTATTTTATAATAGAGAGTGAGAAGTGAGTGAAAGAAAGATAAAAGAGTCACTTAAAAAAAAAGAAAACGAGGGTAAAACGTCAGATAAAAAGAACAGAAATCAGAAAGAGAGAGAAGGTAAAATGTGTCACAAAGGAAAGAAAGAAAGAAAGAAAGAAAATAAAGTAGAGTGAAGATATAAGGAAGAAAAAGAAATAGAAAACGAGAAGTTAAATAAAAGGTAGAAGAATTGGAAAATAACGACAGACAAAAAGCAAGCGGTAGAAAATATAATGCTGGAAAAGAAAGAAAGAAAGAAAGAAAGAAAGAAAGAAAGAAAGAAAGAAAGAAAGAAAGAAAGAAAAAAGAAAGAAAGAAAGAAAGAAAAAAGAACGAAAAAAAGAAAGAAAGAAAGAACGAAAAAAAGAAAGAAAGAAACAAAGAAAGAACGAAAGAAAGAAACAAAGAAAGAAAGAAAGGGAAATGGAAATAAAGAAAGGAAATAAAGCGGCGTGAAGAGATAACGAAGAAAGTGATATAGAAGGTGAGAAGATGTTAAATAAAAGAAAGAAAGAAAGAATTGGAAAGTAACTCCAGACAAAAAGCAGGAGGTAGAAAGTATGAAGCGAGAAAGAAAGAAAGAAAGAAAGAAAGAAAGAAAGAAAGGAACTGAAAATTAAAGACAGACAAAAAAAACAAGAGGAGGAAAATATAAAGCTGAAAATAAAGTGAAAAAGACACAATATCGAAATAAACTAAATCGACAAATAAGACCGAAAATATTCTTAAAAATGTTGGGAGAATAAAAAAGGAAAAACAAAAAGATGGGATGAATGAGAAGAGGCATGAAGGAAAAAATAAAAATTGGGTAAATAATAAAATGCTTCAGAAAACCGATTTGTTCATTCAGGCGAAACTGCTTGCCACTTCGCGTCTCGATTCCAATACATCAAGAGTTATTTTTCTCCAAGCAGTTTCTGTTTCAGAATAAAAATGAATTAAGATTGTAAGCAGACGACACTTAATGAGCTTACTCGAGTCTAATGAGCCGTAGCTCCGGGTACGGACGTTCGGACCGCAGCATTGTTCACAGAAGGGCTGAAATATACGGCAGGATTTATTTAAAACCTATTTTACAGATAACTTGATGCCAATACATCGTATGATGTCATCCTGCTGAGCACGGAAACATAAAACAAAATGACTGAATTAATCACCTTGATATTATCTTGATAATCCTCAGATTTTCAACGATATATATATATAAAATATATATATATATATATATATATATATATATATATATATATATATATATATATATATATATATATATATATAAAGTATATTAATACAGTAAGTATCCATCCAAACAAGTTTGATTAAAAAGAAGCAACACGATCTGTATGTTTAATTTTATATTGAATTTTTCCAATTTTCAGATAAGGAGTTGATTATTGTGCTCTAAGTTGTAGATAAACTGTCCGAAGTTAATATTTATTTATTTTTATTCAATGTATTTTGAGCTTTTGTCGTCATTATCAAAAACGGATGTGGTGTCTGTGTGATAGAATTTCTTTTGTCTGTCTCTTGGTATTCTTTGGGAATCGCTTCTTCATAATTATTTGCGAAAGTTGGGAGTACTTGAACAGAAACAACAAAATAGGATCTTCGGAGAGCTTATCCAAAAGTTCGAGAACAATACTCAAGGTGTTATCCTAAAGTTGGAAAAGGATATTTGACAATTAAAAAGACAGACGTGGGTTCTTTGTAATGAAACTCTTAATTCATATGAGTTTAAGCAAGTTTCTACAAAATGAATCTCATAGTTCCCGTTGCAAACGAATGTACTTGGAAAAGAGAGTCCGGATTTTACACCCACGTACACACACACCACACATACACACACGCAAACCACACACATCCCCCCACACAGAGGGTGTATTAAAATTAAGTTTAGAAAATTTGAGGGCGGGTTCCTCGCACCAAAACAAGGACAAATGTCGAAATAAACATACGTCCGCATATCTTTCGTTTTTGAGTTATTAATTTTAAAGTTGACTGTAGACACTGTTAAATGTACAATCTCTATCTATAAAAGGCAAGATGTGTGTGTGTGTGTGTGTGTGTGTGTGTGTGTGTGTGTGTGTGTAACGAATGCACGGCCGCAATTTTCGATTACATGCACATGCTCCAAGTTAGCGGGAAGGCCAAGACCGACTTTACATTTCCCAACTCCCATCGATATTGGAAATAATCGCTTTTTTCATGCTTCTACGGCAGTTTTCATGTAGTTTGCAGCGATTTTCTACTGGCCAGAGTGAGAGCCAATAGTTGGCTGCCACGAAAAACGAACGAAACAAGGACAGATTAAACAAAATAAACGTGAAATTTAACACAGAACGATAAAACACGAACTTAAAAGTTATTTAAAAAGGAAAACTAGAAACAAATTAACACGTAATAAATAAAGATAAAATTAAAAATTGAAATAAACACGTAGAAACAAAGAAAGGTTTTGAGGGGAAGGGTTACAAAAAATTAAGAAAAGAATATAAAACCAAAATACTAATAATAAAAGAAAAGAAACAAAAAGATATAAAGTAAAATGATGGTGGGGAGTGAAAAAAAAATATCAAACTTTTTGCAAAGAACAGTCAGTAATGAAAATGTAAGCAAAAATACAAAGCAACTTATAGTAACAAAACAGTTCAAAACAAAAAATAATCGTTTAGGGTGACAGAAATTTCTGCTGAAAGAAAGATTTACCGGTCTTATAAGGTCGGTAAAAAAGGACCGCTACTACCAGATTAGAATATAGCGATCCCTTAGACGTCACGCTAATTGCCATTTAATTTTTTTTTAATAATGGAATCGTCCCAGTTTGCCTACTGGTGATCTGTGTTCAAACTACGGTGTTGGCAACGACACTATTCCTATACAACACTTCCCTTCTTTCTTTTTCTATCTTTCTCTCTCTCTCTCTCTCTCTCTCTCTCTCTCTCTCTCTCTCTCTCTCTCTCTCAATGCTACGATATTTAAACCATGTTTTGTTTTTTTTTACGACGTCCAGCAAATGTTCAATGCGGTTTAAATCTGAGCTTTTATATGGCGAGTCGAATGCTGTCGCATTGATTCTGTTCAAAAAAATTTGAACGACATTTGACCGGTGACATGGAGCCCCATCATGAATGAGGAATGTAGTTGCTGTTTTTCTTGCTGTATTTTCACATGCATTGAACCATTCATCGTTGAAGACAGTAAGTTGAATCCGGCGGGTTCCAGATTTGGACATAAAATCACCAACCCAACTGGCTTGCTGAGTGTTTCATAGTTTGAAATGTATACTTTTCATAAAATGTCTTATCAGATCTTCTATGATTTCTTTATGCATAACGAACTATAGCAGAGTAGATTAATCTGAAACTATCACTTTACTCAAGTCTTCATTTGCCCAGGTTTCATTTTGCATAGGAAGTGGCAGTCGCTTGGATTCCATAGATGCATATATTGTAGTTTACAATCAAGTTTAAATGCTTACACATCAATCTCAAAATCTTAGACAAGGTGAAACTGTCATAAAACTTTTACTTGAACTAATTTCAAGCAGAGTAGCAATATCTTCTTTCAAGATCTTGTTCTGGATCGTGTAGCAATGTGCTTCGTCAAATGGTTATAGGGCCTACAAACATATCACGTTGAAACGCCGGCTCTTGCACGATCACCCATGTTAAATACCTTGTCAGTGCCTATATGCGTGAGCCCACGTGCATACCAGGTGAGGTAAGCTTGGACGTGTGGGTGATGTAATTGATAACGACTGGAAATTTTTAATCGAAAAGCCGAGTTCAAATTCAAAGTTATGTATCCACCTCTTTTTCTGTCAGTTATTGGCAAGACTGATATGTCCCGGAAAGGGATATATCTGAACGAAGTAGCTAAGTGGTTTTGGCTACTATAACCAAGTAGAATACGGTAGCAGTAATCGACTGGTACGCGTCGTAGTCGCTGGTAAGAAGTGTAGATCAATGGCGTAGTCCAATGGGCGTCGTTATAGACTTAGCTCTCAGTCTAAGGCTCTTTAATCTCTCGTACATACACGTCCGTCGGTATTTATGACGGACACCAGCCAATCATATTCCAGTGATAGGAACAAAGGTTTACGCATATTCCATTATGTCAATATATATATATATATATATATATATATATATATATATATATATACTATAACCAAGTAGAATACGGTAGCAGTAATCGACTGATACGCGTCGTAGTCGTAGGTAAGAAGTGTAGATCAATGGCGTAGTCCAATGGGCGTCGTTATAGACTTAGCTCTCAGTCTAAGGCTCTTTAATCTCTCGTACCTACACGTCCGTCGTTATTTATGGCGGACACCAGCCAATCATATTCAAGTGAGAGGGAACACAGGTTTACGCATATTCCATTATGTCATATTCCATATATATATATATATATATATATATATATATATATACCAAGTAAAATACGGTAGCAGTAATCGACTGATACGCGTCGTAGTCGTAGGTAAGAAGTATAGATCAATGGCGTAGTCCAATGGGCGTCGTTATAGACTTAACTCTTAGACTAAAGCTCCCGACTCTCGTACCTACACTTCCGTCTGTATTTATGACGGACACCAGCCAATCATATTCCAGTGAGAGGGGACACTGGTGTATGCATATTCCATTATATCAAAGATTTTATCACTAAAAAATATTATCGCCGAAACAATTCTCACAATCTAAAAATAAATTATGGCTTTAAATAACCTGCAAAGGGTTGATAAGCTGTAGAAAATGAATGAATGAATCAGTCATTCAATCATGTGAGATCGTACATTATTGAATATGCACAGTTACCATTGCTGTACAACATTGATTTTCAGTTATAACCTTCTGGCAATTTCATTTGCATTTCAGACACTCCTTAAATAACACATGTCTATTCCGGTGCGATGTTAACGTAAACTAATATAGACATGATTGGCCGGCTAGAATTTTGTAGATCTGCTTTATTATAGTTTTGAGAATAAACTAAATATACAAAATAGAAATGACTGCGGGATATGTATGTGTCTTTCACCTAACTTATTCAACCAATGACATGAAAAATGGCACAAGCACAATGAGAAGAAAAATGGCACAAGCAGAATGAGAAGAAAAATGGCACAAGTAGAATGAGAAGAAAAATGGCACAATTAGAATGAGAAGAAAAATGGCACAAGTAGAATGAGAAGAAAAATGGCACAAGCAGAATGAGAAGAAAAATGACACAGGATGAATGAGAGAAAAAATGGCACACGAACAAACATGCGAAAAATTAGATAAATTTGAACGAGACGAAACATGACACAAATGGAATGAGATTAGGAATAGAACAAGTGGAATCAGAAGAAAAATGGCGCAAGTGGAATGAAAGGAAAACTTGTACGAGGGTTGAGTGGGAAAATGGTAATCGGAATGTGACGGAAAAGCCCCAATTTCAATGGGAGTAAAAATGGCACAGGCAGAATGAGAAGAAAATGGTACAAGTAGAATCTGAGGAAAAATGGCACGCGAAATGGGAGAAAAAAAGTGACACATGAAATGAGATGGAAAATGGCACAATTGGAAAAAGATAAAAAATGAAATGAAAAATAAAATGGCACGAGTGGTGATGAAAGGAAAAATGCTCAGCTCTCTTCTAGGTCCGCCAGTGTTCTCGGATTTGAAAAGAATGTCAAAGTACTCTCATTTTGAAGAATGTTCATACATCCTTAATAATATTCATAATTCTGAATCATTCTTTAACGTCTTCAGATATAGATTATAAAATTGATGATTTAGTAGAACCACGGGAAGGATTGGTATATTGTTACAAGCAAAAATACTGCAGACAGAGGTTCTTACTTTAAATCTTATATTCATATTCCATTTTGGATTTAATATTAGAATTTTGTTAATAAAGATGCATTGAAAAGACGGTCTTTCATGAAAAGTGCAGAAATCGCCAGCTCACTTATTCAGACAGAACAGATGAAAAGTGGTTGAAACTGCTTAGATGATAAGAAACGAAAGAAAAATTGACGCTAAGATTACCGTTTTGTACCCTTTAAGTTTTTAGATTTAATAGCCGCGGAAGGTTCCGATCGACTGACTCGAAGGAAATGATAAATGGAAACAATAGAAGCTACGCTAAATATAAAAGCTGGGAGCAGACGAATGCAAAGTCCAAAGAAATGGATGAACGCGGTAACGAGAAAACGAAGATACGGAAGGCATTAATGAAGACGCAGTTAAAAATGAGCAATTAGAACGAATAGTAGTAGTAGTACTAGTAATAGAAGAAGAGGTTCAAGTAGTAGTAGCAATAGTAAGATGAAAAGAGGAAGGAGTAGAAGTAGTAGAAGAAAAAGAATAGTAGGATAATAGAATATAAAGTTGAAGTAGTAGTAGTAATATGAGAAAAGGGAGAATGAGTAGTAGCGGGAGAAAAAGAATAAGTAGTAGTAATAGAAGAAGAGAAAGAACAAGAAATAGTAGTAGAGAAAGAAGAAGTAGAAAAAAGCAGTATTAGTAAAAGAGGAGGAAGAAGTAAAAAAAGTAGTATTAGTAGAAGAGGAGGAAGAAGAAGTAGTGGTAGAAGAAGAAAGAAAGTAGTAGTAGAAAAAGAAAAGGAATAAGAAATAGTAGTAGTAGAAGAAGAAGAGGAAGAAGTAGTAATAGAAGACGAGTATAAAGAAGTAGTATATATATATATATATATATATATATATATATATATATATATATATATATATATATGTGTATGTGTGTGTGTGTGTGTGTGTGTGTGTGTGTGTGTGTGTGTGTGTGTGTGTGTGTGTGTGTGTAAAAATATATAGAAAATAGGAAAGAACTCGTTAGGTAAATAATCCAAAGTTCTTTAGTATTTTTGTTATTATTTTAAAAAATAGTTCTCGATACAAAAGTAGAGCATAAATATAATTATTTATTTAAAACATGCGAGGGAATCATATTTTAAATATATATATATATATATATATATATATATATATATATATATATATATATATATATAAGACGTCGATATTGCGATTCAGATTTTCATGCAAACGAAAAGAAGATTGCACGTTTGCTATCGACGTTGGATCTTCTGTATATTCACTAATATATATTTAATGCCTCTGTTATATAACACTGAACGCTGTTTTATAAAACCTGAGAAGGAAATATATATGTACGTGTAAGTATATGTGCGTATATGTGTTTTTTATCATATCTCTAGCTCTCGGAGAAGAATGGATTATTTTAAAAACAGTGGCTGCTGCTGCTAATGCAATGCTCATCTACCCGAATCGAGCTCTCCAAGGAACTGACGTTTTTCGCATAGTAAAAACGTTAAATTTTCCCTTTCAGTCTGCTGCGCGACGATAGCTTACGGGGTAGAATCTGAATGATGCCAAATCGGTCGGTTTCGATCCCGGCATCAAGCAATCGGATGTCTAGCCCCACTGATATATGTGACACAGTGAAACAGTCTGTTTATATATATATATATATATATATATATATATATATAAAGAATGGCGAGTTATTGAAGCATGTATATATATAAATTAATATGTCACAACTGAATCTTACAATATATGAGGGAAACTTGCAGAAATTTAAAAAGAAACGTATATATCGACACAAATTAATTCATTAGCCATATATAGAAATATGTTCAACAACATCTTGAAGGATGCCACACTTATTCAAATAAATAGTAACTTAATTAGACGGAAAATTCTTGAGAATGGCGCTATCACATTTTATGAAAATATAAATCTGTGTCACGGATGTGTTTCTAAAAGAAATACCTTTTTCCCATACCAACGTACATAACTATAAAGAAGTTTGAAAATTTAAAGGAAACGGTTCAATTAAAAAAATTTTATCTTATATATATAATATAGTAGCAGTAAAACCCAGCGTTGCCCGGGAGTAAACTTACTCTGAATGAAAGGTCATAACCTCCATACTCATTTTGTACATGCATGTAAGGCTGAAGTTTAGTAGAACTGATAGCCGCCCACGTAAAAAATATAATGTACACAAGTTGTCGTTATTCATCAGCACAACGGAAGAAAAATTGTAAGGTTTAAAAAGAAGCAATGGACGGCCATGTTAGCATCAGCCGTTTGCTATTACTAAGACACCTCCAATTAAAAGTTGTCAAGTTCAATACGAATACGGGCCTTAGGAAGTTTTTTTTTTTTTTGAGTTGTGGCAGACGGCTTTGTATTCCAATGGGATGGTTTTATTATACCTGAGTGCAAGACATTACATGTAGTCCTGGGTTAGTTTCACGGTAGTAAAACGCAATAGCGTGAAAGGTAGACGAGTCTTTTGCTCAAAAGACGGCGCTGCCACTACCGCAAATAGAACCACATAACACAAGTATGGGAAGGTGCCGGCGTGTGTACTTGTAAGTGGCACACATTTTTTTGTTGTTTTTAATAGCCAGTTGAGGCGAGCATGAAGCGCACGTAGCGTTACCTAAAGCAGCCCTTATGGTAAGGGGAGAAACACACCAATAGTGTACGCCAGAGAATGCATATTATAATTCTGCTATTATTTTGTTATCCCACTTCTTTTTGCTGAGGCCTGAATTGCGTGGACGCATTCGACTTCTCTGACAATTAAACGAATCCACCTTCCCACGTATTGGTTTTGTGTTGCAACTGAATATGGTTACGTGGTCGACCTGTAAGTGAAAATGCAGCTATGATGGGTTTTAAGTGATAAGGGAGTATCTGGTGAGCAAGACAACCTTTATTGAAATATCTTAGTAATAGCGGATACTACGACCAGGTTAAAAAATTAAGGAACCTACGATGCAGCTGACATAAAGATGTGTACATTGCGTTTAAACGTGACCGACCATGGGCTATAGGACTTCTGCGTATGTAATATTTTTAACTTTGTTTGTTGGAGAGTAAACGTAAACGTTATCCTTACTCTCGACACTGGAGCAGCTTAGGTAAAGCCGTCCATGAGCGAAACACTGTTCACCTAAATGCAGACCCGTGACACTGAGCGTCTGTCCTTGAGATTGTCCATTGTTGTTGAGCCGTTCTCGTCGTACCCCAGGGCTTTCTAAAGCTCTGGCCGACGCAGTTGAGCTGGCCATTCTTAAACGACGAACAGCGTTTTGCTGAGGTTGTTCCGAAACCCTGGAAGATGCTCTAGCCCTAGCATTCCTAAGACGACGCGAAGCGGGTTTTTCAGGGATTTCTAAAGCTCTAGAACAAGCTGTAACGCTAGCATTCCTTAAACGCTGTCAGTGTTGGAGACTCGGAAGTCCTGGCCACTAGAAAAGTGTATTACGTGCTGTGAATTCTGTACTAAACGCTATTCAATTGAAAGTCTAGCGCGTCGTGATGAGATAACTGATGCTACTGATGCCAGCCTATCAGTCCGTTCAGCGGTACTTTCCGTGGAGATGTGGGCCGCAGATCGTGAGGCCATCTCGGAAAGGCGCATCGAAGTTTGCTCTGTGGTTTCACTTACCCTTGATGCTCTTGTAGCGAAGGCAGCAGCCGTGCGCCGTCCAAAATTTTTCTTCTCTTAGGCGGCATTTTAACCAATTTTAAAAAGGCAAACGTAATAAAAGGTATGATTTTTTTTTGAGTGCAAAAAAATATGTGTAGTCCAAACGTAGGCAGATTAGAGGGATCCGAAAATGTATGTAACTGTATCAAAAGGAGATTGAAGACAAAAAAAAAGTGAAGTTTAAACAATTCAACTAAAGCTAAAACAGTAGTAGGCAATTTTGAGAGTAAATTCGATAAACGCAGAAACGGATGTAGTTATAACTAAGAAGTAAAAAAAAAACATATTGCATACGTAATCAATAACTTCCGGTTTCCGTAAGAAGCGAATGAAGTGAGCCAAGTGTGGGACAGTAATCGCAGAAGTATGAACACGCGTACGAGTAATGGTATAAAGAGTCTGTTAGCCGGTTTACCTTGAGCGCACATACACATGATCTCGCATGACCCTGGAGCGTGAATGGGCCAATCAGCAGCAAGCATTACGCATCACACGGGCCACACGTCACTAATAACACTAATCTGATTGGCTTATGGGTCGCAAAGTTCGGTTGCGACAGAAATCCTTCATTGTGATAACTTTTGCATCCGAAACCCAAATATGGCCATTCTTGTCCTTTCTTATTCCAAATCCGATTTTTTCTAATTATGCTACCGCTATTAATTCTGACATAAAAAGTGCCTATATCTGCTTGTATGCAGGGAACGCACATAATTACACACGCGTGCGCCCGATCAAAAATGAAAACTCGATAATATTGATTTAAACATTGACTTAAATAAATTTTTGGCGTCGTCAAACCCTCCGCAGGAGCATTAGAAATGTGTCAAATGTGGTTGAAATCGGTTGAAAAATGTAGGAGATCCGCTCAAACATATAAACGAACACACATACATTCAGCCTTTTATAATATGTATAGATAAATTAATTTCAAAGTAAAATAATATAAATAATAATTACATCATTAAAAAAAAGTCACTATCAACAATAACAAGATTTACTCACCTTGGCACTGTCCATAATTTATCTAGATTTTCAGTTAGCCTAAAGAATATTTATTAATGTCTCTTAAATGTCAAAATTAAAAAAAAAACTTACATTTTTATATCCAGCGTTTGGATTCGAGAATAAAACAGCATTTACACCCCCAGGATTTTGAATCCGTCCTCCAGGAATAGCCAACTGACTAACAGTTCTGGTTCTGCTATTGCTGAACATTTAATAACTTGAAGGAAATGTGTGGAAAATTTTAATGGTGACCGATTTATAATTTTATCTAGGTCCCACTCCAGATTTCACCTCAAGGTTCTAGAGTCCTTGTATACCAGATCCCGTGAGCCTTCCCTTTGTAAATAGAGGGAATGCTTCCTGGGTCTTAATATTATTGGATTCTAGTTTCTTGAAATTCCTAATTCCCCCCACCCATTCGATTACATTCGTTAATTAAAAAATAATTTACACGCTTTTTTAAATTCCCAGAATAAATAAACTTGATAACTCCTGGGACGTTTTTATTTTAGCTTTTGCTTTTAAAAAATGCCTTATAAATATTGTCTTTTCCTATCTATTATTTTTATTTCTGTTTTTAAATAATTGTGTCATCCCTCCCCCATCATCTCTCAATTGTCGTTCATGATGTCATTGAAGGCAGAATAATGCAATCAGTTGTCGGTTTCTTTTGCACAGGAGTAGAAGTTTATTTCTTATTTTCTGTTTAGGCATGGGGTTCCGGTTCCTTCTAAAATCTACTACAACTCAAAACTCTAGAATTGGCTAGATGTTAGTGCAAGTTCTCTGCTAACACTTTCCTTTCTCACATTTCTTGCGTGTGGAACTCTGTTCTTGATATTTGCTCAAGTTTTATCTTCAAAAAATTTAATGAAATGTCAATCGTTATCTAAAGTCTTTCTGAGTTCTCTTCTGTTGTTTCTGCTCTACAATAATTCTTCTGTTTTCTAACAGATTCACACCCAAAGGTGTGAATCTGTTAGAAAACATTAGTCGTCATTTGCTTGGGGTGATTTCGATTAAAAATAAAAGTATAAACTATAGTTGTGGCAAGTAAAAATCTTACATATATGTTCGTAAATATTCAAGGTTTCATCTAAAAAAAATCAAGAAAATACGAACTCTGAGCAGAATGGTCATAATACAGTAGAATCGCTTATATCTAGATTCCCTCATATCCGGAATTTATCATACCCAGCATGATTTTGATGTCTATATTTGATTTGAAATTTCTGTTTTTCACCCTCATGGCTTGTATTGGTGCAAAATATGATGGGAATAAGAGGAAAAGAACAATTTTGGATTTATCGCAAAAAGTGGAAATTTTAAACAGACTAGACGCTGGTGAAAGTTCTTTGTAACTAACGGCTGAGTTCAACATAGGAAAGTCAACCCTGTATTATATAAAATCTTCCAAAGAAACTATTCTACACTGTTCGCACTGTTACAATGAACAAGAAAATAATTTTTAAAAAAATGATTGTGATGAAACCTGGACTGAAGTTGAAAAAGCTATTGAAAACGTTGTCAGTTTTATAGGAAGAATGCCAGCCTTCAGCTATGACGATTGCAATAACGTGCACAAAGTTAAAAAGTAACCTTCCTTTTAAAAAAATTTCAAGAACAAAATCAAAACGATATGCGGAAAAAAGTTGAGAATGACATTAGAAGAGAAAGAATCATCATGCAACAGCGATTAAAAAATCCTCGTTAGATTATTTGTTTTGTATACATGGCATATTTAATTTATTGAATTTTCATTAACATTACATAATTTATTTCTTTTTCCTTGAAATCACTACCGTTATATTTGACTCGCCATTAGCTTATTTTGTTTACTATAAAACATTGAAAATAAATGTTAAACCTGATTTCTGTTCTTTTATTTTAATCTAAATATAACCCCCTCATATCCGGACTTTGTAACCAATTCCCCATATCCGGAAGGCCTTCGTGGTCCGGTTGTCAGGGATTCTACTGTATATGCTAATTAAGATGATACGAGTAGAATCCATATTGTCTTGGGTCATTTCAAGCTTAACCCCTTTTCTCTTCCATATATCTACACAAGGAAAGTGAAAATCTTACTAAGATATGATCGAATTTATACTTAGTTTCCAACTTAAATCGAGAAAATATGAAATTAAGATAAAATAAAAAAAATAAAAAATTATGAAAAAAAATTTCGCCAGGCGGATGTGAGCTAACAGATAAGAAATGAGAATCTTCCGGAAGTTAATATCTAGCGAGAGTCGATATAAACATGAACCATTATGATGAATGGAAGGGGAAATAATACTTGTCAGGATAAATGGCGAGAGATGTGAGAGAGAAAATAGGAAAAAAGAAAGACGGGTAAGTGTAAAGAGTCCCCATATTCATGAGAGACATGGATTATAATGACTTTCTTTCACAAGAGAAAAGAGATTCTGTCTCAGTATGAGTGAAAATAAAAAAAAATAAGCTTAGGGGAGGATAGTATAATTTGAAATAACGGGAGGCAGAGGAGGAGAAACACGAATTAAAAGAAAGGAGTAGGGAAAGAAGTCAACCCTGTAACGAGTGTTGGTAAAGAAAGAAAGAAAGAAAGAGAAAAAGAAGATTAAATTCTTTTTAAATAAAAACGTTCTTTAGTTGGTTGATACATTCTTATTCTACGGCTTTCAACCCTTTGCATGTTATTTAAAGTCAGAAATATTTTTTTTAGATTTTAAAACTATTTTTTTGAGATAATGATGGTTTCCTAATATAAGTCTCAATAATTAAACTGTACTCTCCCATTCCTGTCTCTTTATATTCAGTTAGTCAGTGCCATACGTGATACATGTTCGGGCGATCATGTATCTTTCGATTTCCCGCCATAGGTTGCCATTTCTTTCTGCAGTAGATTGGTTGCCAGCCAAGACTAATGAACGTAGACTCTCCTGCTATGCAACACAAATCTGGTGGGGGGAGATGAATTCATACCTTTCCCAAGTAAGTGAATCTAACAAATTGCTGGAATTTGAACTCGGCTCTCCGACTTCTCCCTCCGAGCCTATATCCTTTACATCTTAACGCACATCCTTTATATTACTAGTCCAGTGACAGGACCCAAAGAGTGTGAGTTCAATACCCTTGAGGACACATGGCACAGTGGATAGAGGCGTTCGTTAGATCCATTGACTGGACGTTGTAATAAATATGGCGACAAAGATGAGGACAATAGTCCGAATAATGTAAATAGTGTCCTGATATTCGATGATGGATCTACTGATTTCATTTCAAATTCAGTTCATTATTTTGAAATGTTTATCCTGAGCTACATTTCTTGGAACACTTGTTAGTGCATGTGGACATTTTCTTCAAGATCATTCTTAGCCCAAATATGAATACATAAGTTATCAGCATAGATTCCCTCTTCATCAGTACATTGATCTCGTAGTCGGGGAACCATGCTTGCTTGAAAGAAAGGGAGACAATATGTAGTCTTAAAGATGGAGAGAATGCATAACTGAAAGGAAAATACATTAAGTTGTTCGGGAGCACCTCAAGGCGGTGTAATAGTTAACAAGCTTGTATCACTAGAAC